TTGAAGCAAAACCATCACCTGCTAACAAGCAAATAGTAAGAATAAACTGTAGCTTCTCAATTTTTTTAAAAAAATCAACAAGATATAAATTGAAAAGAGACTAATGTACTTCAATCTGCTAAAATTTCAGATATTAAAATAACACTTTGCCCAACTATTTATTTATGCAATTTTACCTGACAGATGAGCCAAAGATACTTCCTATTTTCTGGAAATATAAAAGCTAGTTGAGTCACATAATGCAAACATTTACAAATGAGAAATGGTTGTCCAAACTCTGTGTCATACTTCGATGCAGCATAACTGAGATATCGCAAAAGAAGTTATAAAAATTATAGTTATGTTGTATAAATCAGGACATTTTTCAACAAATGAATCTTTAGAAATATTACCATGGATGCCACAGAAAGGCATGAGACCAGATAGGAATAAAACAAATGCCACAACAACTTTTACTAATATGTATTAAGAATAAAAGAACAGCAAGGACAGAACAATCCTCATTAGCATCTATAACTGCTGTTATTATCTCCTGTTAAGACACTTCTAATTTACGGCAACTTTACAAATTAATCATTCCTAAAAGATCTTACAAATTAAAGGAGGTGGTTTCCTTTACTGAGTCATTCCCTCTCTTGTTATCTATAAGAACAGAAAATGTAAGTTTGAATGGTAAGATGAAACATCAGTTTCTGAAAATTAACAATATAAATAGATTTGATATTATAGTAATAAATGGATAAGTATTCCTTTGAACACAAGTGGATGGATTGACAAAAAAGTGTTGAGAAAATGAACGAGGCACTTGATGCATACTAAGGAAATGAACAAAAGAAAAAACAACAGTGATTAATTTGAAGAACTGTTAAAGTTACATGCTTTCATGTGCAACTTAAAGGGAGAAAAAAAAAGGAGAGTAAATTATAATCATGAATTGGGAAAGAATCTGGGAATTTCAGTCTTTGAAGAAAAAACCTAAATGTTTATTTAACAATCAAGTTACTCATTAAGTTACTCATATAGGCAGGCTTCTAAGCAATAAATATGAGTCTTGGAAATGCATCGTTTATGAAATTTAGACATTTTTATATGTTTAAAATGTTTTTAATCTTGATTAACGATTCATTGTTTTTAATATATAGTTTTGTATAGTATTTTAGCTTGTTATTATTGTATAGTTTTAATTTTGTGAGTCGCCTATGGGGAGAAAGGTGACATAAAAATAAACTCAGCTCAGAGGAGAGGTGGTTTTTGATGCCAGTTTCAATCTCCTCTACCAACACTTTGCTAAAAAGAATGTATCATGGATACATGACATTTTATTCAATCACTAGTAGGACACAGCAGTGTTTTCTCCCCCTCCCCATCTTTTTCTTTATATTCTCTTTTTAAGATAGAAAGCAAAACTCCATGCAAGTTCTAGGAATTAACACTGAGTAACTTGGTAACCAAGAAGCAAAAGACTGTTCTTTAACATACACCAACACACACAAAAGGCAGTCAGTTAATATTGCCTTCAAGTCTTTAAAGGCATATTGAAGCTCCAATTTAACTTATTGTGAATCTGGAACTTTTCGGCCAGAAATTAAAATAGGGTTTTTGTTGTTAAATACTGTATATAGATTTATTCAGTACAGATACCATGACTATTTTTTGCCCTTTGACTAAAATCAAACTCTTCAAAATGGCAAACTAATTGTATGGATTTTCCCCCTAGTTTTGAATCAGTAGGGCTAAACAAGAAAGGTAATTTATCAGGATTGCATCTTACCAGTAATGTAATACAGCACTTTATATGTATCTGCAATGGTACTTACATTTTCCTAGAAAGCAGGAAGGACTGAATCAATACAAGCTGAATTATCAGGGGTTTGCTGAATTTCTTGATTCCAAAATTCAAACCCCTTTTAAACCAGTGAAACCAGTGAATTGCACTTTGTTTCACTAACAGTGCCATTTGATACACAAAAACAGTTCAAAAGCTCTATTGAGCACAATGAGAGTCAACTTGCAAAAAATTGTTTTTTCTCTAGACCCATGACGAATGCTCAGTTTGTTCATCAATTTTCCCCCTGAAATTCTTTTCCTCTCCTTTAGATTCAAAGAATCACTCCGTCTGAGCCTGATTTGTTTTTTCTGTTCATCATATTCTGTGAGAAATAGGTAGTCCTGATTTTTTTAATATTGAGAGTAAAACGTATTTTATTAGCTACTGTTCTGGTAAATTCTTACATACAGAAATCTTTCAAATATCAATCACAATATACAAATTGTATGGGTAGTGAGTGCAAATCATAAGAAAATAATATATAGCTTAATTATTTCACTTATCCCTAAAGGTCTGCTCAGATTTCTTATTTATTATTGTCTAATTGGGTGGCGTATAAATTTAATAAAATATGAGACAGACTAATTTCCATCTGTGCTTGGATCTTCTAACAGTGCATTAGCTCTTATGGACAACTCCCTCCACATCTACTCATAGCCTTGTCGCATTTTGTTCCGTTTTTCTATTTCTGATACTGATCTTAGTCAAAACAATATAGTGCCGTATTTTTCGCTCCATAAGATGCACCAATTTTTTAGGAGAAGAAAATATAATCTGTTTTCTTCGCTCCATAAGACGCACAGACTTTCCACCCCCGTTTTGTGGGGGGAAAGTGCGTCTTATGGTGCGAAAAATACGGTAAATTTCTTTCTTCCGACTCTAATCACTATGGTTGTCCGTCCTGAGGTCACAAATCATACTGATGAAGAATGATTTAATTTCATGGTTTTTTTTTTCAATCATTGTTTTAATTCCCTAAAAAAATCCTTGGCTCTGGCAAGGCTCACTTTCTCTTGAAGCCTATATCACAAGTGTTTGTGTCTCATCATTGGAAGTCATTATCTTTCAATTTTCAAAACAGTCCAGTACTAATGAGGCTGAAATGTATTATTCACAATTATTGCAAAATATTACATGTTTGATTACTTAGCAGCAAGTACAGATTTAATACTGAGTACTTCAGCTTCCCGAACATATAACAATAGCATATTTTATTACAGTTTGGAGTCAACATTTTCTAATAACAAAGGCAATCTACGTATGAGATTTGCTAATTACTTTAAGGCAGGGATTAAATGTACTGTAGAAACCTCGAATTGCTCATACACTTTTTGATAGATAGCAGCTATTGCAGATTTCCAAGTTGCTAATTCTTGCTCACTTAGGTACTACAACAGTTAATTGTTACTACCCTTACTTTGAAATAACATTATTCTCTCCAATCTTGTGTTTATTAATAGTGATCAATATGAGTATATACCTTCAAAGAGTAACAGAATGCAGAATGGTCTTTAAAATTGCAACATGTATATAAAACCTATTAACCCCATCCTCTATTTCCCATTGGGTAATAAAAGGTATGGAAACCAAACTCAATGAAGAGTAGTTGAGAGGGCTGAGTATGTGTACCTCAGAGAAAAGAAGACTGAGAAGCAATACAGTGGGTATCTTCATATATTTGAAAGACTGATGTGTGGCAAATAAAGCAAGCTTGTTCTCTGAAGCTCCAGAGGGTAGGACCTGGGTAATAGATTCAAATTATGAGAAAGGCAATTTCCCTAAACATCAGAAAGAACGTCTTGACAGTAAGTGCTGTTTAACAGTTGAATGGGCTGCCTTAGTGGGTTGTGCGCTCCCCTTCATTGGAACTTTTAATGGCCACCTGTGAGGGTCACTTCACATGTGATTTCCTGGTTTGGCAAGGAGTTGGACTTAGAGTTGATTGGACTCCCTTATAGCTGTACAGTTTTATGTTCTATGATTGATGCTTGCCTCAAGTAATAACTTTTGTCTGATTTCTCAAGTTAAGGCAACCTCTTCTTAGATTACTGCATTCTTTTCTCACAGCATCTCCTTCTTTATTTTGCAGTATAGCCTCTGCCTATGATGAAAAGAGAGTAGTTTCTATGCTATGTTTAACTGGTACTGTCTTAACATTGGTTTGCATTTTCTAGTACAGAATTACACTGTCACTAGAAGATGACATACGAAGACATATTTTGTTGGGATGACGAAGTAGCTACAGTTCTTCATTGTCGTGCTGCCTTACAAAATGCATCGGAGAAAGGAGACTCTTTCACAATGCTGAGGAAAAGAACATGATGCCTCCCCTCTCCCCTCCTCAGCAAGGCAGTCAGGTTTGTTGATCCACTACATTAGAGCATAGAAGCACAGGGCAGGCGCGAATGATCTCCATGGTGCCAAGGACCAGTTGTCAGATCTGCCAAAGATGCTAATTTGTATAATTAATTGTATATTATTTAGAATTTGGGGGTCACTCTGTTACTCCTGAAAACATGGCAAACTCACCACCACCACCACCCTCTAGGAAGTACAAGGGAACATTCTGAGCAAAACAATTTTGAAAAAACGAACATGAGGGGTATAAGGAGGCCAGGGAAACAAGAATGCCCCTGGGTCTGCATGTGGTCATGAACTGCATTTTGCCACCCCATTCTAGCCATACTCTGGAGGAACATGGCCTGGACAGAAGTTGGAGAATTGTTGATGCCTTGACATAGCACCACAAACTGTTTAAAAGAAGGCTTTGTTGCCACCTTTGACACATGTGGGTTAAAGACCTTTAAAAGTTTCTAAGTTTAGGCAACGCATAATCAAAAGTGAAATAGAGAAATATCTTCAAAAGTGAAATAGATAGAAATATCTTCATAGAGAATGGGATTGTGATGTTGGGGTGAGATATTTGGTTAACCTCCAATTTAGATAAACCATAAATGAAAAGTGAAGAGAATGCATCGGCACCAAGCAATTGGGCAGTAGTGTTCTACTGATATTTAATAGAGACCAAAAACCTGAGACAAAAATGTTAACAACACTTTTACTTTTCTTAAGCATAAGACAAGTATGAGGGATACAGAGTATATGATGAACATAACACAGCAAACAAATAGAAATTATCTCAAAGACCTCAGTCTTTATCTCAGAACCTTACCACAGCTGCTAAAAGCTGCCCTAGAGTCAAGTCAGGAGAGCTTCACAGTCTTTACGTCTTCTGCTGCATCCCATCTCTTCTCTGGGAGAACAATCATTTTCTCATAACTAAACAAATACCGGTAAAAGAGGGGGGAGGAGTTAACTCTACTTCATGTTAGTAACATGTCTTCTTTACTCACTAACAACTGCTGAATTCTTGTAATTCAACTGAAACGCAAGTCAACTCAACAGTGACAATAACAGACTGACAGGAAAAAAACCCAAAATAAAAGAAAGCTTAAGATATACTTATTTACTTGGGAATAAAATCCACTAAATTCAATGGGGCATATCTCTGAATAACCATTATAGGATTACATTGAAAGGGAAATGGTAACCCGGGCAAAGGTGAATCGAAATCTTAATTTTCCTTAATATTTTAAGTTCTTATTATTCTATTTCAGATCAATAAATGAAAACTAGAAAAAGTCTTTTGCCTGTGCACAGTGCCCCTGTGCAGCTCTCTTAATGCAATCAGACACACTAGTATATCTTCAATTAAGTATAGTTTTAAAATTTTATTTGCATTATAAATCTAAGAGCTATAGCCAACACTCTGTAATGTAACAGATCCTTCTATTTCCTTCTCTCAGCCCTCCACAGTCTCCATGCTGAGAAATTTGCCCCAATGATCCCTAAATCCTCCAGAACAGATTTGGAAAGACAGGAAAAGCTAAAGAAATTGGGGGGGGGGATTCACTTCATTGGTGGATACCATTCCCTCTGCAGAGAGATACAATTCAATCTCATCAACAGGTTCCAAATAATTCAGGTCATTAAACTGACTTGCAACTGAGGTTCCATATTCTAACTTCTTTTTAAACTGTTAACCATAGATGCCCAGGCAAGACAAAATGGAAAGCTATACAGTTAACTAAACACTTGCTGTTCATTTGCTGGCTTCTGCAAAGGGAGGTACTGTACAAAGGGACTGCATCTCAGTTAATATATAATTCTTCTGAGAGTCCATATAAGCACATTTATTTATCATCAGATGTTTACCTTAGTTGAGCCCGATGCTCCCTCCTTACTCTCTGCATCTTCCAAGTGATCTTCTGACAAGTCTATCTTTTCTGATGATGGTTTTCGAGATTTCTCAAATGTGTTAATCCCTAGGATCTGAGCTACTTTGTCAAGCTCAGCTTTTTTCTTCTTTACAGCATTGGCTTTTACTTCTAGTTCAGTAATCTCTTTTGAAATGTTCTCTCGGAGCCGATTCACTTCCACTAGCAAAGGGTCTTTCTCTTTACGCTTTGTCTGCTGCATTTTTTCTGAACCAGTCAAAGTGACAGACCAGGAAACACAAGAAAATCATCTTAATACATATAAAACTGTTTAACATCTAAAAGTAATTAGAAGTGTTAGGTACAATGCAAGAAGCTATGAATGAAATAGTGCCATTGTTGCCTACAGCGATACCGTATATCCCTTCTTCATTAATTCCTTGTTTAGAATAATATTCTGTGGTACCTGGCATAAGAAGAAGGTAGAAATGCTCCCACCTCTTCTAACACACTACCCAATATCAAGCATCTGAGGAGAAATGAAAGCATAGAATGTAAGTAAACAGTACCTTGGTGTCTTGAAAGCCTATTTAACTCTATCCTCAGGTAATACAGCTGCTTCTGTAGTTCTTTTTGTTCAACCGTCAGCTTCTTTATTTCTTCAATTACCTGGAGAGGTTGTGGAGGGGAAATAAACGCTTTAAAATAGCTCTTTTCATTCAATAAAGCAAAAAACCCTGTGGTGACTTCTGATGTATGTACTTAATTAAAGACAAATTTCTTACATACCGTATCTGTACTTCTTTTCAGATAAAGCAGAAGCATCATAAATAAATCCCCTAACATTATATAATTGGGGGAGAAAAGCAGGTCACAATCCGACACAGTATTGAGCAAACTCAAAAAAAGCCAGGGCAGGTAACTTTATTGGACTATAGCCATAATCTACTAACAAATAGAAATGGGCACAAACTGGAGTTTGGCCACACAGCTGTTCCATGGGTGCAGTGGCTTCCCTTCCCTTTTCCAATGGGCATCCACTCAGAGGCAGTGACACAGCTTCTCAGCCCTGCCTCCTTCAGTGGGTGCCTACTGAATTCATCATATTTCATCAAAACTAGTCTCTTTTAGCTTGTTTCTAAGATACTGCATCCTACCATACTACATTGGTAGATATTTGGAAAACTGAAATTAAATTTTGTTTCTAAGGCCTACTGAGAAAGCTACAATGCATAAATAGACACAATATCACTAAATTGGTCTGATAACATTAGAAGGACATAACATTAGAAGGACGTCTTGTTCTAACAAACTAGCATATCAAATGCAGACTTAAAAATAATATAAAAATAAAAAACTGAAGTGCTTTTCATTTCTGTAGAACAGAATTTTTACAACTTGTTTGGAGTCTCACAATATCTAGTCCAGAGATGAAGAACTGATTTGCAGCCTTGGGTTGGATAATGGCCATCACCTGCAACCTCAAAGGCTCCCTGGTAGCAGGGCCAGCTTTGCCTGCAGATGACCAAACTCTTCTCCTTCTTCACCTTTGTCACGTGGGGATATATTACTGCATCCAATACAGTATTTGCATTTGAGAAGTCATCACATCTTGCACTTCTTCCCAGCCAGGAGAATACAACACAGACAATGCTGCAACCAAGTTCTCCTGCAGACAGTGCTTGGATCTCAGTTATGCTCTCCCTGCACTTAAGCCACTCAGCAGAAGGCAAGACAGGCATGTAATGTTCCCTGGGTTTTTGTCCCGTTAGATGAAATGTGTATGATATATTTAGAATTATATGGCCAGAAACCTATTGAGACTTTTCTCTGCTGTATGTGCTATTGCATTAATCACAGCAGTAAACTGCCACTAATTAGAGTTACTATCCACTTTCCTACTTCCATGCCTGTCATGCAACTTGGCATACAATTACTCTTAAACTAGCATAAATCCATAATAGAATTCCTGCCTCTGTATTTAAGAACTAATATGCTGGCAACTTATTTCATCTTCTTGTGAGCTGTTATGTGTATAATGCAGAACAGCAGCATTTAAATAAACATGATGATCAACAAACAGAACTTTTTTAAAGTTGGAACATAGTAAATGACAAGAGTCAACAAGAAAAGCTAGATTAATGGTTTCTCTCTTCTTTTGCCAATGAAGTCCAGAATAAATAGGGTTACCAGGTAAGCAAATCATATACAGTGGTGCCTCACACAACGATGTTAATTGGTTCCAAAAAAATCAACGTTGTGTGAAACATTGTTCTGTGAAACACCATTTCCCATAGGAATGCATTGAAAACCGGTTAATCCGTTCCAATTGGAACGGATTGCCGTCTTTAAGTGAAAAAACCCATAGGAAACATCGTTGAGTGAAACAACGTTTCCTCCATTGGAATGTATTGAAGCCGACTCAATACATTTCAATGGCTTTGCGAAGTCCTTTTTCGCTCCTGTAAAAGTGCCTTACAATGTTTGGAACAGGTTTTAAATGCTTGCAATTGTTAGCCCACCTCCTGAACCCTACGCAAACTTAATTTGATGTTGTTCTGAGTCGTCTTTAATTTTTGGTGATTTTTTGAATTTTCTCTCATTGGAATGCATTGGACGGAAAACGGAAGAGCTTCAAAAGCACTGAAGCCGGCTTCAGTGCTTTTGAAGTCCTTTCCGATGTCCCTTTTCACTCATTTTTAAGTGTCTTACAATGTTTGGAACAGGTTTTAAATGCTTGCAATTGTTAGCCCACCTCCTGAACCCTACGCAAACTTAATTTGGTGTTGTTCTGAGTCATCCTTAATTTTTGGTGATTTTTTGTTTTCCCTATTTAAATGCATTGAACTGTCCATTCAATTGATTTAAATGGGGAAAATAAAAAAATCACCAAAAATTAATGAAGACTCGGAACAAAACCAAATTAAGTTTGCACATGTTTCACAAGGTGCACTATGGAATCCAAGTATTTAAAACAGGTTTCAAACATTTTAAGACACTTTTAAATGAGCAAAAAGGGACATCGTTAAGTGAAATTCCCCCATAGAGAACATCGTTAAACGATGGGGGAAATTCCTCAAAAAAACCCATCGCTGTGTGAATTCATCGTTGTATGAAGCAATCGTTGTGCGAGGCACCACTGTATTTGTCCTCACAATAAAGATGAAGGAATTGCTTCATAACATTTTGAATTCACTTTAATCAAGAAATCAGTTTTTTCCGCTGTTGGTACATATTATTCTGGATTCAGAAAACATATTAAAAAGTGAATGTTCAGGGGGGATGCACGAGCACATGTATAAAACATTTAATATAATGCAAAACTTCTGACTTCTCCTTTCAGCTTTACTGAACTTTATTAAAGGGTTCCCTTTTGCCTTGGGAAGCCTTTAGTACCCTTGGAACAGAGGACAGAGAGTGTATAATATCAGAAAATTACTGCCCAATTCAGTGGTGGGATGAGCAGTAGCAATTTTCCAGTACTAAATATTCCTTCTTCCACCTCTCTGCTTCTGAGGTTCTTAAAGACATCCCAAGGGCAGAAGAGATCCTTAGGGAACCTTGGGATCTGAAGGGGAGATAGGGAGTTTTTAATTTAACTGATGATATCTATCAGACTATAAAGAAGATAATCCACTTCTCACAATGCACAACTACCTGGCAGGCAAATGTTCTGATACGTGAAAGGGGAAAAGACATAAGAGCAAAAAACGGATAAAGATATTCACTATTCTTACCTGTTTAGAATGGATTTTGTGTTGTAAACAAATATTCACCCAAACAAATGTAAAATACTAACCTTCTGCCGCTGAGCGGCCCGGTTCTTTTCATCAGCTATTTTTTCCTTGCCACCTTTGAGAGAAGGCTGAGGGAGCACATCAGAGACAGGAGCAGTAGTGGGGATTTGCACAAGCACAGATGTCTCTTGTTTGATTTCAGGAATCTCTTTGTACAGAGAAACTCTCTCAATAGCCCTGAGGTTCGGTCGCAGACAATTTGCTGGCACTGCTGGTGTTGAAATTCCATGCATGTCTGAAAGTACAAGGTCAGCCTGTGGAGTACGTGTGGTCCAGCCAGAAGCTGCATAAGCCGTATAATGTCCATATACCCCATAGCCAGGAGGGGGCATTAGGAGTGATGGATGACTTTGAGGAAACTGAGCTGCAGTGAATGGTGAAATTTGTGAAAAGTTACACCAGGAAATTGAAGTAGCATCGAAATTAGGAAGAGATGGTGGAGCTGATGGGATTACAGGTAATGGGGAAACAGGCTGCCATGGCATGCCAGCGGGATCATCCTGCCTTGTAGTTTTGTTTTTATCATAATCAGATTTTGAAAGAGAGGATGTATCTTTAGCAGGTGAGATAGAATGCTTCCGGCTTGAGTCTGGAGAAAGAGTGTTACTTCGACTGCGATACCTCTCTTGAGATGGAGGTTTATGAGAAGACACCAAACGGCAATCAGGAGAATGAGATGGTTTCTTCCCATGGAGTCGTTCCTGTGTGCGGGCAGCAAGCTTACTAATTTCAGCCATCCCAATGTCGAGCCCAACAGCTTTGAGCAAGTCACGGATCTTCTCAGGATCTAGCCTAGACTCTTCTGACATGTCCGATTTTACAGGTAGACTAGGAGGAGATGGAGAGGTTACCTTCTGGTTTCTAGATCCTTTCTCAGTACTCAGAGTCCATTCTGGAGCACAAGCGGAAACGATGCTAGTTTCTTCATCACCATAAAGAAATTTCTCTTCATCCTCAATGTGAGAAAACCTGCTCCTTCTCTTTTCTTGGGCGTTGGAAGAATCAGCCATCATGCCCAAAATGCCTGAAAAGCCACTGTGGTCCTGGTTGACTCTTTCATGAGGCCCCAAGAAGTCACTCTGTTGATCAACAGGCTCTGAAATCATCTTGTGACATTCTTTTTGTGCTAAAACATTCCCAGAGTTCTGTTCAGAAGAAAACACATTTTGTTTCTGGCCAGAACACAATTGCCAATCAGATACAGTTCCAGTGCCTTGAAGTTCCTTACTGGGGGCTGGCCTTTTAACTGCATTTGTATTGAATTGTTTGAAGAAATTCTCCACCTCCGATGAAAAGGGATCAGTACTTATATCCAAAGGAGGGGGTTCACTGACTGAAAAGACTTTAGGCTACAAGAAAAAAGAATGATCATTTGTTGACATTATGATCACCAAGACCACTCCACATTTCTATTTTGCCTTTCCCGTAAAAAATATCATTCAAGGGATGGCTATCAACATCATGAAAAATATCCAAAGCAATAAAACTATTAATATCATAATTAAATATGAATTAAACAATAAAACCAATTAAAATCAACAATAAGTTTAAAACAGGGTGGATATGATTTAAAATAGATTGATTTATGATTTAAATTTTTAAACAATCAAAAAATTTTAAAATGTAAATTAAAAAATATATTTTATTTAAATTGTCATTTAAATCATGATTTAAATCAATTTTATTTTTAAAAAATCATTGATTTTATCCACCGTGGTTTAAAATGCCATTTGAAAGAGATGTGCCTTCTCACCTTCCCCAAGAGCAGTCAGTATGAAAACTGATATAGCAGTGGAGGGACTGCATTCCATGATCTGGAGCAAGACAAGAGACGAGAAAAGCCCTCTTTTGCATACCCACTAAATAGGAAGATGATTATATTCTTAAGAAGGCCTCTCTTGAAATGAATTAGGCAGTTCCTTAGATTCACACACCCCCCAGCTGTACAGGGCTTTCAATGTTAAAGCCAGCACCCTAAAATGGAGCCTGAAACCAAATGTCACCCAGTGAAAGTCTTTCACTTTCCATAATGACATCAATTTCCCAACTCATAAAACAGAAAATACTTTCATATAAAGGATTACAATCAATAATTTAAAATACTGTCAGGAAACTGTATAAAGAGAAAGGTGGGATTGAATTGGAGAAAGGAATTCCAAAATATCAATTTTTTAGCAGAGTGTATGTTTAATAATCAGGTTCAATCAAAGTTTCAGTCAAGATTTTGATACCTGGAGATAGTCAAACACAGTTTTAGAGGTGAACAGGCCTCTCACATTTAGCCAGAGAAAGGCACACTTTGCATAAAGTTCCTGTAACAATTTCACTATCCACAAATAAATACTGTAACTCCTCTATTTGACAAATGTTCATAGGATACTGTAAACACACGGTGGGTATCAAAGGGGGAAAAAGAGCACGTCCCCACTGCGGAAATATGCACTGATGTTATACCAGGAAAGTGAAGTATGAAAGGAAAGCAAAAACACATTGGCATTTTACATTTCTCTAATAATATTTTTCACCAACATGTCCATAACCAAACATGTCCATACATCTATTCATAATAGCTAGAGAAAATTCATATGCACTTATTGTTATTTTCAGAAATCACTTATTTTTTCTTTGCGTTGATATCCTAACATAGAGATGTTAAAGAAAGTACACAGCACATCATAGCAAATACTTTTCAAAAGCTCTTTGTAATATTAGCATTAGACTCTTCAGTTTCACGCAGAGAAAATCTCTGCACTTAAGGCGTAAAATTATTAGACAAAAAAGGTTGCTCTTCTTTCCATCCTCATATCAACATAAATATATTGTAGCTTTCCTGTATCATTTGCATTCCATCCAGTGCAACCATTTTGAAATAAACTTCTGTAGTTCAATATACAGTCTTGACCAGTGGTTCCCAGGTTTGGGTCCCCAAATGTTCTTGAACTACAACTCCCAGAAATCCTGGCCAGCACAGCTAGTGGTGAAAGCTTCTGGGAGAACATCTGGGGACCCAAGGATGGGAACCATCACTCTAGAGATACAGCTCTAATGAAAACCTTAATGTGTCACAACTACTTAAATATAACATCTACTATTCTTATTTTTTCTATCACAAGGATGGGAATCATTATTTTCATATTAAATAATGAATAAAACATTATTAGCATCTAGCTACATCTGTTAATGCGGCATTTAAAGGCCAGAGTGAAATCCAACTCATCTACCTGCACCTCCCAATAGACCAGATTTCCCCTGTTTTGCATAAATACTCTATCTGCCTTAGATACAGAACAGAGCAGAAAATCAGAAAGATCCACTTATACAATATGGAATGCACTCACACATATAGGATAAGACAGACTAAACATGTGTTCATAGATTGTTGCCTTGTCGTGGCGAAGGGGTTTGAGTAATTCAGAGAAGCTATGGGCTATGCCAGTGGTTCTTAACCTTTGTTACTTGGATGTTTTTGAACTGCAACTCCCAGAAACTCCAGCCAGCACAGCTGGTGGTGAAGGCTTCTGGGAGTTGCAGTCCAAAACTCCTGAGTAACCCAAGGTTAAGAACCAGTGGGCTATGCTGTGCAGGGACACCCAAGACGGACAGGTCATAGTGGAGAGTTCTGACCAAACGCAATCTGCCTGGAGCAGGAACTGGCAAGCCACTCCAGTATCTTTGCCAAGAAAACTCCATGGACAGAAACAAAAGATATGATGCTGGAAGATATGATTGTTGGAAGGCATCCACATGCTACTAAGGAAGAGTGGAGCATAAGTGCAAGTAGCTCCAGAGCTAATGAAGTGGTTGGGCCAAAGCCGAGAGGATGCTCAGCTGTGGACGTGCGTGGAAGCAAAAGGAAAGTCTGATGCTGCAAAGAAAAATACTCCATAGGAACCCGGAATGTAAGATCTATGAACCTTGGTAAGCTGGATGTGGTCAAACAGGAGATTGCAAGAATAAACATTGACATCCTGGGCATCAGTGAACCAAAATGGACGGGAATGGGCAAATTCAATTCAGACGATTATCATATCTACTATTGTGGGCAAGAATCATGTAGAAGAAATGGAGTAGCCCTCATAGTCAATAAAAGAGTGGGAAAAGCTGTCCTAGGATGCAATCTCAAAAATGTTAGAATGATTTCAATACGAACCCAAGGCAGAACTCCCAGAAGTACAAGTTGGATTTCGAAGGGCCAGAGGAACTAGAGACCAAATTGCTAACAAGCGCTGAATTATGGAGAAAGCCAGAGTGTTCCAGAAAAACTACTACTTCTTCATTGACTATGCAAAAGCCTTTGACTGTGTGGACCACAGCAAACTATGGCAAGTTCTTAAAGAAATGGGAGTGCCTCACCACCTTATATATCTCCTGAGAAATCTATATGTGGGACAGGAACCAACAGTTAGAATTCGATATGGAAGAATTGATTGGTTCAAAATTGGAAAGGAATACGATAAGGCTGTATAATGTCTCCCTCCTTATTTAACTTATATGCAGAATACATCATGCGAAAGGCTGGACTGGATGAATCACAAACAGGAATTAAGAACGCCAGAAGAAATATCAACAACCTCCGATATGCAGATGATACCACTCTGATGGCAGAAAGTGAGGAGGAATTAAGGAACCTTGTAATGAGGGTGAAAGAGGAGAGTGCAAAAAATGGTCTGAAGCTCAACATCAAAAAAACTAAGATCATGCCCACTGGTCCCATCACCCACCCACCCCCGGCAAATAGAAGGAGAAGATATGGAGGCAGTGACAGATTTCACTTTCTTGGGCTCCATGATCACTGCAGATGGTGACAGCAGCCACAAAATTAAAAGACTCCTGCTTCTTGGGAGGAAAGCGATGACAAACCTAGGCAGCATCTTAAAAAGCACAGACATCACCTTGCCGACAAAGGTCCCTATAGTCAAAGCTATGTTTTTTCAAGTAACAATGTATGGAAGTGAGAGCTGGACCATAAAGAAGGTTGACCACAGAAGGATTGATGCTTTTGAATTGTGCTGCTGGAGAAGGCTCTTAAGAGTCCCCTGGACTGCAAAGAGAACAAACCTATCCATTTTGAAGGAAATCAACCCTGAGTGCTCACTGGAAGGACAGATCCTGAAGCTGAGGCTCCAATACTTTGGCCATCTCATGAGAAGACTCCCTGGAAAAGATCCTGATGTTGGGAAAGGGTGCAGGCAAGAGAAGGGGACGACAGAGGACAAGATGCTTGGACAGAGTCATCGAAACTACGAACATGAATTTGACCTAGCTCCGGGAGGCAGTGGAAGACAGGAGGGCCTGGCGTGCTCTGGTCCATGGGGTCACGAAGAGGCAGACACGACTTAACGACTGAACAACAGCAAAATGTGTACATTAGAAATTCTTAAATTTCTTTTGTTCTGAAACTTAATCTAAAGTAACTGTGGTATCTGTTTCTCTGAAAACTGTCTACCAAAATTAATCCCTTTTAATGGATACAACCGATTATGCATTCTGATGTCTTGAATTTTCAAACCAACAAAACATCCTCATTCTGCATTAAATGGGATACAAGGTGCTGATTGCACGATGATAAAAACAAAATAAATTCCAAAGCATTAATATTGTTTTGGGTATATTTCTCGATGGAAAGAAATTATGGTAAGTTAGATATTTGGATTTAAGATGAAAGAAGGAGAAAACTGTAACTGATATTTTAACGAGAAAGGGAACAATACACGTCATACCTGCACAGAAGGATCATCCACACGTTTCTTCAAAATAGATTTTTTGGGCATTGCTGGTGCTTCCTCCGGTCTGTAAAGATACTGAGGTTCCAACGACCACAATGGGTTACTTGAACTAGGTACCATGTAGCCACTGCTAGGCAGTTTTTCACTCAACTTCTTACTCAGCAACTCCTCTTCTCTTTTTCTTCTAGCAATTTCAAGCTCACGGAAATCTTCATCTTGGTATGCTGGACTTGGGCTTCTACTAAGATTTTGTGTATGATAATTTTGTGTTCTTGGAAAGAAAGGCCGAGTCTCTGTGCTGATATCAATCAGTCTGTCATTTCTATCATACCGAAGACTTTTCAGTTCATGACCTCTATCCTCTGATGAATCTAGGGAGTTTCTAAGTGGTCTACCAACCCTACCACTTTCACACGATTGATCCTGGAGACAGTCATAGTGCATGCCATAGACAGAAATATCCCTATTGCGATAATCCTCGTCATGTTTCAAATTGAAAGGACTAAGAGCATCTTCCTCCCGAGAGGGACATTGCTCAGAGCTGCGAAGATGTGAAAGGTGCCTGCTAAATACTGGACCATCAGCCAAATCATCCCTGATGAGACAAGAGCAAGTTACAATATTGTCAACAAGATGGTATAACATCTCATAAACTCTTCTTTTGACTGTACTTTTTTGAATACACCTTGGCTGGTTCTGTAAATTTTGTATCTTCTGCACTACCTTCACTCCACACATCCTATACACAAACTGTTTTGCTCCCAGGGGAATAATGTCTGTTACTGATGAGCACAGGACACTTCTGGAACTAAAACAAAGACCATGTACCTTGTTTTGTTAGTTGGATTCATTTATGGAACTCTGCATCCAACACAGTAACTTTACTTCATTTTCGGCAGAAGACTACAATATACCTTAATTATTTCAGTTTTGCATTACATTTTGTTGCTGCTGCTAAATTGTCATAAAATAAGGATGTACGTGTCTGGCTGATAAGTGGGGAACAAACTTTACTTAAGATGAAAGAACCATGAGTACTATGACATTTAGTCTATTAAGTATACCTACAGCACTGGCAATAACGTCATTTTCCCTTGTCACAACAATCTTATCATTCTTAATTCATACCGTCCTGCAGGTTGAATAAAAATGTTTTTAATTATATGTGCAAAAGGGAGAGTGAGAGAGAGAGACCCCTCTCTCAGGAATGTCGTCCCTTCCGCCAACTGTTGAAAAAGAGAGCCAGACCCCACCAGTTCCCCCACCCAGAAAGACAAGACCTCCAGGACATGACCCGGGGAGCCTAGAGAGAGATGTGAAAGGACTAACGATCACAGAAACCTGGAATATCTTGGTGGGCGTGGGAGAAAAAGGGCAGGAAGTGGTAGAGGCGGGGTTGGGTGATATAAGAAGGGGAGAAGGAGAGTTGCTAGCAGGCTGGGAGTGGATTTGGGTTGAGGATCCCTGGACAGGAAAGATAGAAAAGCTGCGAGTCCCCAAGGAAGAGACGTATGCCTGGAAGAGACGAGAACTCACCCCCAAACCTTCCTACTGAGATGAGAAAGAAACTAAAGAGTGGCGGAGGAAGTTAAGAGAGGAAAGAGAGAGGATGGAAAGAGAACAGTGGAAGAGATTAGAATGAAGGATATGGGAGACGCAGCAGAGGGGATTCTTGGAACCCCGTGGCAGATGGGGGAACCCTCCTGGGAGTGTGACTGGGTGGACGTTCGAGAGAGGAGGGACTATTACTAAATCCTGACACCCCACCTGAGTGGCCGGGACCCTGGAATGACCACGGTGGGAACCCCTTGAAGTTGGAAGAATGGAAACCCCGCCCCCATCAGACCTGTTGTCAAAAGGGGAGAAGGTTTGGAACACATTTGTAGACACTGGACTCTTGTTGAATAACCCAATAAATGTTACCCCTATTTCTAAACCACGGAGACCCGGTGCTTTATTTGAAAAAGAAAAGGAGCTGATTACTGAACCCTCACAATGTGGAATTTTAAACTTTATATCAGATTTTGTAACATTTAAATAATATTTTCTTTGATAAAATGCTGTTTAAAACTATTTAAAGATCTAAATGTTCCAGATACATTATAGCCTATAGGTTTTTTTTATAATGAAACAACTATGCACAAGCCAATGCATGAAAAACTGCATTGAATATTTAATCTCATCAGATTTAAAACTATGTTTGGCTCAGCAAAAACAGACATACAGAGCATACTGGACCACTATACCTTAAAAAAGAAGAAAAAATTCACCACTTGTGAGAAGAAATTATGCCAGTTATGTGTTGGCAATGTAATACAATTCAAACTTTCATATGGCATATGAAAGGCATGTCCAGCAGTGGGTCTTTTTTGGTTGGCCATATTAACGTTTCATCAAGAAAATACAGATATACTTTTAAATGCTGGTATAGTGCAGTGGGTTGGAGCTTTTATGGGCTGGGAGTTCAAATCCCTCCTGTGCCTCCTAGGAAACAGGCATGCCAAGATCATCTGGAGCATCTGTGGCTGATTCCATGCTCTGTAATTCATAAACTTTAGGTAACCTGCAGGGTCCCTTAGCACCACCAGAAGGAGGGACTGGTAAATCACTTCTGAATGCTTCATATCTTTAAAAAAACCCGTCTGAAGTTGTCACAACTTGAGGGCACACAAATTTCAGTTCAAAGTATTTTCAAGCTTGGAAGAACAAGCAAATTCTTTTTGGATACGTAGTCAGCTAACAATGCCTATAACCAATGTGTTTTCTCCTTTTCTTTTCTTTTTTCCTTTTTCTTCCCCACTCCCTTTATTGACATTTATATTTTTAAAATCCGATAAAAATTCAGTAAAAGAACACAAGAGCTACAATTCATGCTCAATATCATAAATATGAATGAGGGATATTAATCTAAGCCTGTTGCTCATATTATGTAGAACTGTGTGTGAACCACCACCAAGCTCTATTTTCTCACTGCTCCTCATGACACAATATGACTAAGAGTGTGATCATATGGGGAAATAGTTTAAGATTACTACCAATTCAGTTATTTTAAGCTGATTTGTCCTATACAATCTTTCACTTTATTTTTAAAGTGATAAGATCAATTGTGACTGCAGTTCTTGATATTTTATTTCTCAATCAACTTGCCTAGCATTGCATATATACATTTACTACAAAGTACAACTTTGCTCAAAATTGATAACTGCTACTACTACATCACAAATGGGACATACCTATGGCACACTAATTGCAGCAAGCTCAGTAATGATACACAAGATAAGCTTTCGTATTAGGGGAGTTCATCAGGTTAATTTCTGGTCAAGCATTACGCCAGAACCTCTCTTAAGATTACCAGTTACAGTGGTGCCCCGCATAGCGAGGTTAATCCGTTCCGGATTAATCCTCGCTATGTGAAATCATCGCTAAACGGAATGTAAAAGCCCATTGGAACGCATTAAACATCGTTTAATGAGTTCCAATTGGCCCTAAACTTACCGTTCAGCGAGGTTTCCTCCATAGCAGCAGCCATTTTCGCGCCCTCGGTAAGCGAGGGGAGGGCGCGAAAACGCTGCAGGCGGACATTTCTGGCATCAGGCGGCCATTTTAGAACCGCCAAACAGCTGATCGCCCGACTCTGTGGGAGGTTTGGGGAGTCGGCAGCAAGAGGAGGAGAAGAGGGAAAGTGGGGGGGGGAGGACGTGCAAACGCGCGGCTTCCCTCCCTTCGCCTGCCTGCCTGCCTTGCAGCCTGCCTTCCTCTTCCCGGCCATCACTCTTGCGGCGGCGGCTCCTTCCTGGCACTCTTCGGTAAGCGAGTTTTCTCCATATGGACGGACGCTATGCCTCCGCATTAGCGATCCCGGAGAAGGGATCGCTATGCGAATTCGTCGTTATACGGTGCGCTCGGTATGCGAGGCACCACTGTACTTAGTTATAACTGATAGCCAACCGTTAGCAGGAATTTAGATATCTAATTTTTTAGAAAAAGGAAGCACCACCCCATAAATCTATCCTCAGAAAAATCCAAACCATCTAGTGAAACTCTTTGACCTAAATCAATTTGTAGCCCCAACTACACTTACCAAAGCACTAGGACTTATATGATTAGACATTTATCTTTGGCCTGATCGACTGCATGAACATCTTAATGCATTTATTCCTGCCTTAAACTCACTCTATGTTAATTTACTGACATATATTCTAGCTATCTTTCTTGTATTCCTATTCATAATATAGCATTTGCATTCTTATCCTTTCAAATGCAGTATCATCTTTTGAAAGGCAGTCCATGTAGTTTAAGGGTATCTGGGAACACCAACATGAACATAAAGAAAAAAGCTAAACACATCTCTGTCTTAGATTTGCAATTCGTGATTGATCCCACCTAATATATGTTCTGCACCATCTTACAATAAGCTCAGGCACTCAAAGAATTCAAAGGTGGTCTTCACAAAATCATACCTGTCCACATCACTCAGACTATCAACTGGTGAATCCAGTCTATCAGACAACCTCTTTCTCTCAGGTGTTTTGGTGCCATAACGCTCGTTGTCAACTGTGATTTGCAAACCACGTTCCACTGAAGATTCCGAGTCCAAACCTGGAAAGCAGCTACCGTGGGAAAGGGGGTATCGGACTGGAGAATGTGCACGTCGGTCTGGAGAACGTGAGTGCCATCCCAGAGAATGTCTCTAAAATTAAAATTTAAGTAAGAAATTTAGTGATGCCATTCCAACAACTGTTTTGATTAAAACTAGACTGAAAGATTTCTCATGTAATTTTCTACTAGGCAATCGCAACATGAAACACAGATATATTTATATTTCATCATTTCCACTAAAGAGACTACCACATGAATGTGCAGAAAAAGACTGCAATTAGACTAACATTCAAGAATTAAAAAGAATTAAAAATCTCCAGTTTAAATTGGCAGCCAGTGATGTTGGCAAGAAATGTTTCTACAATAGAAAATTTTCCATGGCAATATTTCTGGAATATTGGTCACTGACTGCATTAAAGAAATTAAGTATTTGAATTTTCCACTGCCATATTATTTCACAGAAAATTCCATAATTTTATAATACTAGTAAGCAAAATAGATTTTACTTATGAAAATTACTTGTATACTGCTTGATGCAATAATGCCTCTAGTAATTTACATTTTTAAACATACATTAGAATTTAAGAACAATACACAAGAGTTAAAAATCAGAATATAATATGCACTTAATTGTACATCATCAACAGCACTGTGTCTAGCAGAAGAAAAACCAGTTGTGTAGTCTTGGGCAAAATGGCGGATCATTTCTGTGTATTTTATACCTTGGGAACCCTGGAATACACTTGATGGCATGTAGTTATTAATAACACAAATAGCAGAACAGCCATTTTAGATGTGAAAAGCCAGTATAAACATGTGTGTTTCCAGAAGGCATTTAAACCTGTGAACACAGTTCAGTAGATAAAAGGCATTATTACCTAACAGGAAATTAGGTCTGAGTGTCACAGGAAAGCTAGCAGCAATGTCTTCTGGAAGTTAGATTCTGTTATAAGTCCAGAAGCCTAGTATAGTCACTCAAGTCAGAATGACCAACACGTAAGACACCAGAGTGAGATAAATCCATCTTTTTTGGGAATAATGGTCACAATAGTGAAAGATATTTCATAGTGCTAATGACGATGTGTGTAAAACAACCCCTGAATGGCAGCTACTGGGCAGCAGCACTGATAGTGTTACAGGCTATCTTAAAGACATCGGAGTGCCATGGAAACAAACTCCTGTTAGTACTATGCAAAAGAAGGCAATGGTAAACCACTTCTGACAATTCTATACCCTGAAAACTCTATAAGACAATCCAAAATGAAATGAGAGCTAGAACTAAAAAGTGGGACTCCCAAGTTGAAGGGCACTCAATCAGCTACAGGGAAAAAAAACTAATGTCTTTTTAATTTTGCAATATTTTTTCTTTCGATTTTGCCTGATATTCCTGAAAAGGAAAGTCTTTGCCTGGTGACCGAAGGACAGGAGGGCGAGGGCACAACCTGCTTTGGGCACAAGTCACTGAGAAGGTCCTCTCTCCTGCAAGGGTGGATACAAATCAATGATTTTTAAAAAAATAAAATTGATTGAAATCACGATTTAAATCATTTTATTTAAATCATTTAAAAATCTTGATTTTTAAAAAAATATTTAAATCATTATTTAAATCAAATCCACCCTCCTCATGTCCTTACCAAATGAGCTTGGGAAAGTGGTGGAACTAAGAGAAGGGCTTCCCAAGAAGATCTTAAAATCAAGGAAGTCTCATATAAGGTAAGATAATGATAAAGTATTTTATTTTGGAAATAGCAAACTCAGAAGAAACCATGTGGCTCTATAATGACACAAGACATAGTATAAGCACCAAATTTTACCAATCATACGCCCTGGAAAACCTATCAACATAAGCGTAATTCAAGTCTATACTCCAACTACAGATGAAGAAGAACAAATTGCAACTGTTAAGGAGGAAATTGATCACACACCAAAACAAAAGTTATAATCACAGCTAACAAAAGTAAGAAACAAAGCAAAGTCAAATATTGTCAGAGAATTTGGATTAGCAGTCAGAAATGATGCAAGGGAACAACTCATAAAATTCTGTGAAACCCACAATTTGATTTTTGCAAATACAGGTACATGTTTCAGACAACCAAACACACAGCCATACACATTCATTACAGGTACATGTTTCAGACAACCAAACACACAGCCATACACATTCATTATCAGAGAACTAATATGGAAATCAAACAGACTATACAATCATACATAGAAGATGGAGAAGCTGTATTCTCTCTGCTGTTTAACAAGAACAGCAGTGCACTGCAGTATAAAACCTCAATAAAGCTGAGGAGGAACACTAAATCAATTGTAAGGTGGAAAAAAATTAACAAAAGTTTTGATTAAAATCCACATGAACAGATACGCATTATTAAACTCAATTGACCACAACTGTAGATTGAAATGAGAGCCATTATCAGAAGAGGTAAAAATATTATTTTTATATTTGTGATAAGCGGAATGAGAGCATAGAATCTCTCACTGGAGTGCCGTCCACGAGTAAGACCTCCAGGGAGGTACAGACCACTCCCCCACCAACCTCTCCCAGGAAAGTACACCAGGGGATAGACACCCGGGAACTAGAGACAAGTCTGCAGGGTCTAACAACAACAACCCAAATGGAGAGAGAATTGGTGGGAAGGGAGGAAAGGGGGATTTGTTTCAGTTGCTCACTGAGTGAAAGGCTTTTAGTTCTTTTGAGATTTGTCATACTATTCAAAGCAACCCACTCTAATGGTATCTTAAACCTGCATTTTTGATACTTTACACTGATGTATTGCGCCTTGGGGCGTCTACTTCACTCCCCTAATGGTGAACAGAACTCAAAATGTATTATATAAAGTAATAGCCCTCCTCACGTGGGACCACTGTGCCTATAGAGATACCATACAACTTTATTACACTATTGGGTTCAGAATATTTTTTCCTGTTGTCCTCCTCTAAAAATGAGCTACGTCTTATGCTGAGGTGTGTCTTATGGAGCGAAAAACACGGTAGATACTGTTACTATTACTACTAATACTTACTACTACAGGAGGGAGGGAAGGAAGCAAGCAAAGACAAACAGCAAAACCAGTAGCTGGGTCCCACAAAGCTGATTCTTGGAGGATTTGGTGGTCAAGCTAGGGAGGTGACAGGAAGGGAAGGAAGTTGCTGGGTGTGAGTGCATTTGCTTGAGTGCACACATCTAGTCATGTGTATGAGAGACCTTCAGGTAGTGTGGGCGGCATATAAGTTAAATAAATAAATAAATAAATGAATGAATGAATGAATGAATGAATGAATGAATGAATGAATGAATGAATGAATGAATGAATGAATGAATGAATGAATGAATGAATGAATGAATGAATGAATGAATGAATGAATGAATGAATGAATGAATGAATGAATGAATGAATGAATGAATGAATGAATGAATGAATGAATGAATGAATGAATGAATAAATAGATAAATAAATAAATAAATAAATGTGTATGTCTTTCAGGACCATACTGCTAGCCTGACGGGCAGCTGGATGTGCCTTTCAGAATCCTTTCTTTTGGGGAGTATTAAGAATGGTGAGATAGTAGAAAGAAAATACCTCAGTTTTCACTTGTATAAATGCCGTATTATTCTCAGCTACCCCCCACCCTTTAGATCTGCAGGAGCACTGAACAAACTGAAGAAAGAGATGGGGATGACAGGATGGGGACGACAGTCCAGCAGAGGAGGAAGTGCACTTGCTCAGCTTGCTGGCTGTTCACTGCGCAGCACACATGTAGATATGCTTTGCGAATAGCACATACTCTGCCACACTTTCCCGTAACCTTGCTGCAGCTTTGCATTGCACATGCAGAGCTACATAAAAGGAGTTCAGCCAAAATGCTGAAGTACTACATAGAAGAAATGCAAGGATGACATATTCCTTTGAAGAAAAATCCTGAGATGTAGAATCTGAGATTTTAGAAAGACAAGTGAAAGCTGCTTTCAAAACACTTGAAAAAATAAATCACCAGAAGTAGGTGAGATACCAATAGAACTATTTCAGGCCACAGAAAATTACTCTACCAAAATCCAAACAAGAAAAGATCAGCAAATATGGAAAATAAAACAATGTCCTACAGACCAAAAGTCTGCTATACACATTTTAGAATGGAGACATGAAATGAGCCTCAGCAAAGAATGTGAGGACTGTGAACCCATTCAGGCATCTCCTGGGTAACAACAGCAGATGACATCTCATATAGAGAGCTACTAAGGTTCTGAAAACAGTGCAGAACAGTACTGTATTGAATCAGAGGGGGGGAAGGCAAAACCCAATGTGTAGTTGTACAGTAATTCCTTTTATCTCACCCACAACAACATGCTGTTTAATCAATTCTATTTCAGGATTTTCCAGGTAAAGAATACTCAGAGGTAGTTCACCATTCCCTTTTTCTGGGAGCGCTCTGGGACTGTGCAGCTTGCCCAAGGCCACACAGGAGGCACAGTGGGGAATTTCATCCCAACCACAGCCAGATACCTAAAGCACTATTCTATCAAGCCAGTCTTAATTATGCAGCATGAAAACAAATGAAATTCTGCAAGGTACCTCTTCAGGTTGTTTTGGAACTTCACAAACACAGTATCAAATATAAAAAGGATTGCAATCATCATTTGAAGAGACTGTCAAATGAAGGAAGCTATTAATTTAAAATATTTTCCTTAGGATGCAGAGCACTATGGATGATATGGTTAGCAAGAGTTGTTTAAAGTCTGATATGGATTGCTGTAAACAACTGATTTTCGAAATGTCCTTGCTTCTGTGCTGGTGAATTTAGGTCAGTTTTGCACAGCTTTAAGGAATCATGAGAAGATGGGTCTTGTGCTAGCAATTCAGCTAGAAACATTTTTCTTGGCCCTTGTCAAAGAATCCAGAAGAAAAAACATATACAACACACAGAACTACTGGATAGTTCAGTGGTTTAGATATCTGGTTGTGGAGCAAGAGATTGGGAGATCGATTCCTCATTCTGCCTCCTTGATATGAGATGGGTTCAGCTCTATACTGTAGTTCTAACATAATAGATTATTCTAAGAGTTTTGTTTCAAGTACTGTGCACAACTGATGCTTGGTTGCTCATTAACTAAAGGCTGAAAGTGAAGAAAGCTAAAGAGAAAGACTGGAGGAAGAAGGGAACAGAATACAGCAAGGGTTGTATGCAGACACTAATTGTGAATGGGTTCACTGTCTAGCGGAGATGGTTCTTCATCTAAGGCGAGAAGAATCAGAGGAGTCGCCTTTTTCACTTTAACAACTTCTGGTTTATTAACATTTAACTGGTCAACATTGGCAAACGGATCTAGGAAACTCAGCTCAGGGAATATACCCGAACTGTCCATGGCAGTATCTGTCCTTTCCCCCACAGAACTCAAAGGGGTGCAGGACCAAACTTCTCTGTGTAGGTCGACTTCCGTAGCGGGACACTCCGCACCATGCATATAGTCCCGCAACATGGATACCTTGCCCAGTCTCCTTCCAAAGGTGGGGTGTTGAAACTAGCGTGGGGTCGGATCACACGCCCTCCTCTGCCCCGTTTCTTAGGAAACACCATCACAGACCACTCCAGAGGTTCTATATTCACCTCCTCCCTTTCGTTCGGGATTGGATCAGGGAGCAGCCCTCCTATTATCGAGGGAAATGTCTCAACAACTCCTAGGTCTTGACCCTTTCGTAAGTGCGCAATTTCTCTATCTCCCTCTTCCTCTTCCACAGCTCAATTTCTACCTAAAATTGGTGCCCACTCCCGTTATTTGTACTCTCTTGCCAAACGGACAACTCTTGCTCCCCACCAATCGCACCTTCTCCCTCCTCCACTAAACCCACTTCAAATCTCACGCCTTCGCGTACTCTCTCTCTCTCTCCGCCGTGCTTTCGATCCCTTTCCATTGTTCCTTTGTGTTTTCCACTTCCCTTTTCCTTGGACTCCTTTCTTCAGCAGGGGATGGCACACTCTCTGCCTGCACTCCTTCACACTAATACTACCTCACTAATGTATAACAACATCGCAAGACAGGAATAACTGCTCAAGACAGGAATATTCTGCTCAAAGTGCTAACAGGATTGGCCTTGCAAACAAAGTAGTATGAACTCTGCATAGTGTAAAAACCACCTTCTTACATTGTTGAGTTCAATCTGGACATCTCATAAGAATGCTTCAGACTGTGATCATTCACAATCATGGTATTACTTAAAAATATTCAGTGAAAAAATTGTTTGTTTGTTTATTAAACTTACACCCTGCCCATCTAGTGGCAAGCCACTACAGTACTCTGAATGGCTACAAAAAATATAAAGTACACAGTGAACAAGAGTGAAATGACAAATGGGGAGAAAAAAGCCCATCCAAAATACCCAACCGTCTAGCAAAGTCTGCTTAACTCCCAAGGTGATGGAAATGAAAGCAAGTATTAAACAATAAACAATACGCATAGGGTCATCATATAATTTGTTGCTGTTGTGTGCTGTCAAATCAAACTTGATTCATAGTGACTCGAACAGAGCTTTCAAGGTAACTAATATATTTAAGGAGTAGTTTTACCAGTTTCACTCTCCCAGTGAGTTTCCATGGCTGAGCAGGGATTCAAACCCAGGCAGGCCTCCTGAGTCCCTAGTGTGTCACTCCATCCACTACACCACACTGGGTATCATCATTTAAATGAAATCCTTTCCTCTTTTAAATTTAACTATTATGTTTAAACTATTTAAATTTCAAACAAGTAAATTTAAATGTAGCCTGTAGGCTTTCAAAGGTCTGGGTTAAAAAGTCATGTTTTAATTTGCTTCCTAAAGCCAAGGACCCACTGGAAGGGAATTCCATAGTGAGGTAACCACTACTGAGCAGGCCCAGTTCCTGGTTGACTATTTCCAGGCCACCTGCAACATCAAGGACTGGGAGGTGCAGGTAGGACAGGAAGTCAATCTGTGTCAGAGGTGCTCTGTTAGGTAGCATATAAACCATACAAGACATTTAAGGGTAAATTAGCACCTAATGTTAGAACTAAGTCTCTCAGCAATTAACTGCTACAAACAAGGGCCACACAGTGTGAAGAACAGAGCAATAATTAGACATTTGCCAATCTCCAGTTCTCACCCCAATAAGGTATGGATATGAGTTCCCATGGAAAATGAAAATATGGTGTTCCCCAAAACAGAGGAAAAAACGTCCACCTTCCAAAAAGGGGGAAGTTATCAGATTTGGTAGATGTTACCATTTATTTTGCTAACAGTCAGCAGTCGATTCACCCCTAGACTTTGGTGTTCTGGGGCACAGCCTGGATTGATCCTAGTTACAGCCCTACTCTGACATCTGTCAGTATGATTTCTCAGTGTATGTGAACCACTGCACGACAATTTTATATATACAGACTGGAGGTATATATATATAGCCACATAGACTGCCGAACCACATACAAGTGTCCTCAGATATAAACTTGCCAAGATTTATTTCCAAGTGAAACATGCACATGTTTACATCGCTATTGTCATACCCCTAATACTTTCCTTCCAAGTATCATCTTAAATATTCCTGCAGAAGATGCGCCTTCCGCAGCCTCTATTTGGAGACCCAGACTGCTTGAGGAGCGCTCGACTCTAGCCTAGTAGAGGAGCGATGACACTTTCCAGACATTTACAGGGAATGTAAACAGAAAGGACGCTCCGGGCCTGACTGAGCGCAACTGAAGCGGCAGGGAGACCAGGGGGAGTAAACGGGTCGCCCTGACGAGGGTCCGTGGGGAGGAACCGGGGAGATGGGTCAGGGCTGCCTCCCGCTCCCGCCGCCGAAAGGAGAGCGTACCCGACTGCTGCGGTGCGGGGACAGCGAGCGACGAGAGGAGCGCCTCCTGGACGACGAGCGGTGGTGCCGCCGCCTCCGGCCCCCCGGAGAAGGCGACCGCGAGTGGTGCTGTCTTCGCCGGCCCCGAGAAGGCGAGCGCGAGTGCCGCCGGCTACGGCTTCGAGTCGACCTCGAGGTCCCAGAGCGAGAACTATGGAGGCCCGGGCTGCTACTCTTTCGGAAGCGACTGGAGGAAGACACGCTGGAGCGGCGGATACTGGCATGGTACATATTGAGGAGGAGAGCGGGCTCAGGGTCTACTCCCAAGAAGGACCGCGGCCTTCCTCAGCGGGCCCACCGCGGCTTACGCGACTTATTTCCTTTTCCCGACCACTTCCGCCGCCCCCCTTCCCGCCCGTCGACACGCTCGCTCTGCCTGCGCAGTGGGGCTGAAGCGCCGGATGTGAGGCCTGCGAGGAAACCAGAAATGCTTCCTTTGACACCTTTACAAAATGGCGGAGATGGAACGTTCGGGTCACGCGGTAAGAGGGGGCGGGGCAGTTGCGAATACGATGAACCCATGTGAGTCTGCGTACGCATAAAAATGGTGGCTACGAGTGCCCGTTTCTCATGGTATATATATATGCACATATCAAAGAATCGGAAAGATTTCCTCTTCCTGATCTAGAACACGACAATATAGGTTAAATTAATGTTGTTAGTACTTCAAAGGTAGACTAGCCTTTGAACGCAGGTACATACAGAGAGGGACGTATACGGAATTCAGCATGTACATTGTGCTTTCCTTCTCTATATAGAATGCTAATATCTAAACGAAATATACATAATATATACATACCGTGTGCTTATATAAATAATATTGTTGTGTTCCAAGTCAGGAAGAGGAAACCTTTTGTATTCTTTTTGATAGTTTGGACTTAAGCTCCCATCAGCCCTGTGTCAATTGGAGTCCAATATACTGTATTCTGGTGAACTATGTTTTAGGTGCTCCGGCAGAGTCACAAGAAGCACAATTGCTATAATCAAGGGAGATTAATGCATCCTTCCAAGTTGACATAGATAGTCTCAGAAAGTTTTTTTTTTAAAAAGGGAGGGGGGATTCTTCCAGTTGCTAATGAGGCTTCTTTCAGAAAAATCCAGCTGTATGTGAAGATGTGCTTCCCCGCCCCTTTATTCCGTTTTCTATAGCAGATTTCCTGGCTTCACTCTATTGCATAGTGGATAGAGTGACGGATAACAACAATGGAGAACAGGATTTGAATCCCTGTTCAGCCATGAAAACTCACTGGGGGAGTGGAACTGGTAAAACCATTATTAAACTACAGTACAGTATCTCACTTGCCTTGAAATTTCTATTGGGGTCACTATAAGTCGATTCTGACTTGACAACACATATCACAAACAACATTTCCTGGGCTGAACTCAGATTGTTTTAATGTTCCTCCACCTAATGTATGGCAGTGAACATTGCAGTGTCCATAAAAGAAAGGATTAAGAAGATTTTAAAAGCAACAACAAGTCTTGTAAAGACTAAATGTTACAAGTATACAAGGATTCTTGTTCATTTCTTATATCTGAAGGAGTAGACTGCAGTCTGTGAAAGCTTATGTCAAATAAAATATCTTCCTTATGGTTTCCAAACCTTTCTTTCAAAACCTTAGGGAAATCACAATATTTTCTGGAGTAGCTGATTTCATAGCAACAAAAGATGAATATCACTTAATACAGGGACAACATACAGGGGTCTCAAACATGCAGCCCGGGGGGCATTTGTGGCCCCCCAGATGATAGTTTGTGGCCCTCGCCTTGCCTGCCCCCCCAAAGCGCCCACACATCCTCTGCTGTCAAGAGTTAAAAAAAAGCCTTGCCTCGCTCACCGGCTCTCTCCCAAGCTAGCACCTCTTGCACCCTCCATCCAGAACTGCAGCCTGCCAGCCAGCCCACCTGTCTGTCGGCTAAGGAAACTCCTGGGCGGCTTCCTCGGGCTCTCGCTCCACTTGGCGGAAAATCTGATGCGGCCCAGCCTCACCCAGACTCTGTCTGTAGCGGCCCCCAGGTAAATTGAGTTTAAAACCCCTGATTTAGAAGATATATAGACCTCCCCAAAGCCTCCTGGAACTTCCATCATTGCCAAGCCATGTGACCAGTAATGAAAGAGATGGGAAACATAGTCCAAATCAAATTGTGAAAGCAATTCACTATAAATAATAAGTTTTTGAAAATGAATTCCTTCCCATTAACAATAAAGACAATTGAGAGAAAGAACAAAGGTATTGCTTGTTAAGTTGCAATCATAAATTATGATTGTACATTGTAATTGTAAAAATACAAGTGATGCTGTGGAGGAGATCAGCATAGTGTGCCATCCACCAAGGAGAGCAGACAAGATATGACAGAAGGATGTGCAGTGGGAGAATTGATCAAAATAGAAGAAGGAGAAATGGGGAGGAATAAGGCTGTAGAGGTATTCTTGGCAGAGGGCAGACAGAACAGAAAATGGGAGGAGCTAGATTTAATGAGATGGGATGAGATAAAAGAGGAGGAAGGAGAAGGGAGAGAACTAGATGAAAAGGAAAAGGAAGACAAGGGTACTCAGACGGAGGAAAAAGGATTACAAAGATACAAATCTATTGAACTAGTGCGGGAGTTTTCTAAACTTAGAACAGGAGGAGGATTATTACCCGACCCCCCAAGTCTAATAGAGAAAGACAAGATAAAGACGAAGCCGGGACGGAGTATGGTAGCGGTGCCATGGGCCCAGTATATAGGGAAGAAGGTGACTTATATTGGTACCACCAGCTACCTACCCTATCTAGAGGGGAACTACTGTACGTGAAACATCCCTGTTGTGGGACGATATGTGCAGCCTTGAGTTTCCCAATGTGGAACAAAGCCGAGCCAAGTCTGTCTGGGATGAAGAAGGAGTGAAGGGGACAAAGACTATGGACATGAATAAGGTTAAAAGTTACAAGTTATTGCCTGAACTGAGTTGTTTAGATCCTTTCAACGTTGATGTTACAGAAGTTAAAAAGAATAAAGAACCATTGTTTGTACTGTTATCCTCATATCCCTCTATTTTTCCCGCTGAAAAGAAGGACCCGCCTACCACTGACAAAGAACCCAATCACAGATGCATTCACTACTTATGTGATATTGCTGGATTTTTTATAGTTGTTGAGTGGCCCTATGCACCAAATGATATAAGAAGATATCACATAGCTCAAGAACTACCTCATTCAGTGTGTACCACAGGCCAGCAGTTTGTAGGATACAGATTTTTCAAGAAGAAAAGCTGGAAAATGAATGTTTTAGTTACTTTTGAATTAAAAATAAATAATATGTTGTTGTTGTTTAGTCATGTCCGATTCTTTATGACCCCATGGACCAGAGCACGCCAGGCCCTCCTGTCTTCCACTGCCTCCCAGAATCAGGTCAAATTCATGTTGGTACCTTCGATGACACTGTCCAATTATCTGTTGTCTCCTTCTCCTCTTGCCCTCACACTTTCCCAACATCAGGGTCGTTTCCAGGAAGTCTTCTCTTCTCATGAGATGGCCAAAGTACTGGAGCCTCAGCTTCAGGATCTGTCCTTCCAGTGAGCACTCAGGGTTGATTTTAGAGTGGATAGGTTTGTTCTAGTCACGCTGGCCATGTGACCATGGAAACTGTCTACGGACAAACACTGGCTCTACAACATGGAAACATGATGGAGCCTCAGCTTCAGGATCTGTCCTTCCAGTTATTTTTCTTTGCAACATCGGACTTTCCTTTCACTTCCAGGCACGTCCACAGCTAAGCGTCCTTTCAGCTTTGGCCCAACCACTTCATTAGCTCTGGAGCTACTTGTACTTGTCCTTCGCTCTTCCTCAGTAGCATGTTTGACGCCTTCCAACCTGAGGGGCCCATCTTCCAGCGTCATATCTTTTAGCCTTTTGTTTCTGTTCACAAGGTTTTCTTGGCAAATATACTGGAGTGGTTTGCCAATTCCTGCTCCAGGTGGATCGCATTTAGTCAGAACTCTCCACTATGACCTCTCCATCTTGGGTGGCCCTGCACAGCATAGCCCATAGCTTCTCTGAATTACTCAAGTCCCTTCGCCACGACAAGGCAGCAGTCCATGAAGGGGCTATATTGTGTTACTTTTCAAAAACAGTAAGTGTAACAATAATTGATGGTTTGGTGGGCTCAAACTATAACTTTTAGTATTCTAGCTGGCTGAATATCTGATCACTACCAGGTTGGAGAAGACTCCTGTAGAAAGAGGATCACACAACTGATTGCTTCTATATGTGAAATAATTCCTTTACCATCTCATGTGATGTGCTAGGCCTTTGGTAAAGCATGTACCATGTTTACCTGTGTTTAAATGCCTATCTGTTTGTAGAATATAGTCTATCTATGTGTTCCACTGAGGATAGTTCTGTATTACCTGTAGGATCAGAGGTTGGCAAACATGAGCAGGGTTTTCGCCGCCTCTATCAGTTAGGATCTGGCTAAGCTCCTGCCAACCTAGCAGTTCAAAAGCATGTAAAAAGCAAGTAGATAAATAGGTACCACCATGGTGGGAAGGTAACGGCGTTCTGTCTCTAGTCACGCTGGCCATGTGACCATGAAAACTGTCTACGAACAAACAGTTGTCCAGTTGTCAAAGGGAATCTTTACCTTTACCTAAGCTCCTGGAAGTAACACTTTTGCCATCCATTTTCTAAATTTAGTAAATATTTCACGCTTATGTCAAGGTTTTGATATTATTATGAAGTCAGAATTTATTAACAGAAATAGATATGTGATGAAGGTCAAGCACAAGAGGTGCACCTAATCAAGAAAAGTGTAGAGTCATGCTGCATAAGCAGATGATGTAAGAAGCTGATGTAATGTAATTTGTCATTGGCTGTTCTGAGTATACCGTATTTTTCCGTATATAAGATGATAGTTTCCCCTAAAATGGTTACAGCAAAAACTGAGGGTCTTCTTATACACAGAAGTAAGCCGAACTGCTGGCACGCAGAGCCCTCTCTGTGGGCATGTGAGCCATGCCGATGCTGCTGCCCATGCCAGCCCGGGCAGGGCCACTTGCTGCTGGGGATCAGTTCAGGCTCATGCCGCTGCCTTGTCCCCTGCTTGAAGGGAGCCCGTGAGTGGTGCTGGAGGAGGTGATTGGGTGGCGGTGGCAGGAGCAGGAGGAGGCAGAGGTGGAACCGCGCTCAGCCACCCCTCATAGCTGTCCATTGACTGCGGCCAACCAATCGCCTCCTCCAGCATCACTCATGGGCTCCTTTCTGGCAGGGGAGAAGGTGGCGGCTTGAGCTGAGCCCTGGCAGTAGCACTGAAGGAGGTGATTGGGTGGCGGCGGCGGCAGCAGGAGGTGAAGGAGGAGCCGCTCTTGGCCACCCCTCGCAGCTGCCCATTGACTGTGGGTTCGCAGCTTGAGCTCACAGCACTAGAGCCCCAGTCAATGGGCAGCCATGAGGGGCAGCTGAGCACTGCTTCTCCTTCGCCTCTGCCTTCTGCTG